AGATGAATTTGACCCACAGTTTATACTTTTCTAACGCCTGTTTTAAGATTTCTTAAGAATAGTGCGCATTGACTACCCGAAGGATGGACATATTTGAAACACGGACTTCGGTGGGGGGGGAACCAAGGGCAACACACCTAACCCTAAACATCTGTACACCCATAATTTGCTGAAAAAAAAAAAAAAAAAAAAAAAAAAAAAAAAAAAAAGATTTCTTAAGAATAACCAATATGCTGTTATAATCATATGTCAAGTTTTTATTTTGTTATTATTATTGTTTATTTCTAGAATTTCCTTTTGATTCTTCTTATTGACTCCACTTCCCTTGTGAAAATCTCAGTCTTGTCATCTATTTTCTTGAACATGTTAATCACAGTAATCCTAAAATCTCTGTATGATATTTCCAGTATCTAGTTGCCTTGTGAATCTGTTTTCTGTTTTATTTTCTTTGCCTGCTTTCTTGGTTTGCCTGATAGCTTTTTATTGAAGATCAGATAACTTGTTTGAAAAGCTGTAGAAGCCTTTTAATGCATTTATTTTGCTGCAGAAAATATTTATTTTGTTCTTTGGCAGATTTCATCACCTTTGTAAGACTCTATCTACTTTTGGGATGTAGCTTTCCAGAGGATTTTACCATGCCTTGTCCTTCTTGGTGTGTCCTGAGTACTAATTTTTGTCTCCTTAGCACTATAAGATTGCCAACATTATGTTGTGCTTTACATCTGCTTTCTCCATTTGCCTTATGCAGATTTAAATGAAAGAAATGGTGCTGCAAGGAGAGTGGTGTAGATTTTTGGGCTTGCTTTTTTGCACCTCTTTTCACTGTGAGATTTTGTTTCCTCACGTCCTGGCTGCTTTTGAATCCCCAGATGCATTTTTTTCCTCCTAGCAGTAATAATTTGGCAAAGCTCTGCAACTTTCCTTGTGTTTAAGTGGTTTACCTCTTCCCTGATCCTACAGTCATTAAAAAAACAGTTGAAATATGGTGAGTAGGAAGTTATGCTTACCTCAGTGAGCTTTCTTCTTGCCAGGATCTTTGTCCTGCATATCTCTGTTTTGTTATGCAGCCTTTCACCTGTATAATTCATGAAGAGTAGGGCAAAAGGATTATAGACATACCAAGATTTAAGCTATAACAGGGAGGATGTGGACAGAACAACAATGGAAAACTAAGGGAATATGCCATTGAACTAGGTGACAAAAACTCATATCGATTGCCCAGTTGTTAAGCAGGAGCTTTGACTTCTAATTTGGAAAGCAGAAAAGATACAGAATGTATCATTGGAAAAGAGAGTAGATGACTCTTGGCCCATAGTTCCAGTATAGGAAGGGAGGTTTCTTAGGTGAACTCTCCAGAGAATATCACTTATTTTATGCCAAGAATCTTCGGAGACTACAGTCCCCATTCCAGTAGAAGCAGGGATAGTGTATGAGTATAAATACCTATCCTTGCTTAGGAAGGTGTGGGTCCACAGAGATACCAGATTATGTTTTCAAAGTTCAGCTTCTCAGAGATATTTGGAAAGCATGGTAAGGCTGTGTATACTGGTTAGGGCTATAGGAAATAGTGTGGGAGATGGGGAATGAGTTCATGCTAAACTAAGATAAACATGGGGAGGGAAAATAAGTATATGATACAGAGAGTTGGTAAAGGATGAAGAAAGAACACACAGGCAAGTGTTGGGCATTTCAAATTTTATACCCATAAATTATCATGGTTACACGTTGCCCTACATGCACTCTATCTCTTTGCATCCTACACATGCAACTACTGATGAGACACTGACAAAAACTCTGTATTAAATCAGCTGCTTTTTCTCACTTTATATGCTATGAACCAAATGTGAATATCAAGAGGTTAAGGATTATGTTTTCCTGGTGCCTACTGCATTGCCAGGCCTAGAAAGTGAGAGCAACAAGTATGATTTTGAACAAAGGAATTCATGAGTGAATAAATTATAATGTGAATGATGGCAGAATTAATATATTTTGTTTTCTTTTGTTTTTAATAGGACTCAAGACTAAAGTAGGAAAGCAGCTGAGAAACGGAATAACATGGATAGTTCAGGTCGTTTTATAGTAGCCCATGCCAGGGAACTGGAAATTAGGTAGAGATAAGATTTAAAAAGTGTACAGCAGGGTTTTTCAACCTCTGTGCTATTGACATTTTGGACCAGATAATTCTGTTCTGGGGGGAGATGTGCATTTCAGGACATTTGGCCACATCCCTGGCATCTATCCACTGGATACCAGTAGCACTTGTCTCGGATTGTGATAATCACAACCTCCAGACATTGTCATATATTCCCTAGGGGCAAAATCACCCCTGGTTGCAAACTACTGGTGTGGAGAATCTATTGTCTTTTTCCTTGTCAGTTTCAGGACATGAAATAGTGTTTGGATATGTGGGCCAAGGTAGGTGGGTGGGTGGAGGCTATGGAATATGGTTGAGTAATAATTAACATGATGCAGAATTGAGAAAATTACTTTTTGATAAGTTCATATCAGGATGTTAGAAATCATGTTCTTAGAGGAGAGACTGGGGCCCATTCTTGTCACTGTATCTGGCAAAGATTTGAGAATCTATGAATATGTGTTGGTAAAATAGAATGGTATATGCTTATGGGGAATGCACATGCTGAAATAAAAAATAAATAAATAAATAGATACATTGAGATGGTTTTTAAAACTTTGAAAATTTAATATTTCCTCTTAATAAAGATATTGACCTTTGCTGATAAAAAAAAAAGAAAAAAAAGAAAAAAAAAAGAAAAAAAAGAAAAAAAAAAAGAAAATGTGGCTATTTCTGCTCTTAGGAGGTCACCAATTCCAGGAATACTCCTGGAAAATCAGGGTTGAGAATAAAATGAGCATTTCTCACTGGATAAAACCATAATAATCCTACAAACTCATTCTCTAGGCAGGATTCAAGAGTGACCCAAACACTATGGACTTAAAGGTAGAGTCATGAAGCTAAAGAATCTGGAGACGATCACATAGATGACCACAGAGACCAAGTCCTAGATGGGAATTCACCTTACAAAGTAGGGCCACTGATAATTTTGATTTTTTTCTCAATTTTTACTTGATTTTCTCTCCACCTGGAATAACTTGCTATATTCTTTGTACAAATATAGTTTGCTTTGATCCATTTTACCTCTTCTATGGAGCTTATTTTGTCATAATCCATGCTGACAGCATTTTCTATATTTTTCTACCATAATGCAACATTTTATTCTAATTTCATCTTTTCATTTATGTCTCCCTCACTACATTGTGAGAACATTGACCAAATTTCATTCAAATTTTCATCTAAACTTATATCTAATGTCCCAACTTCTCTAACAGGTCCCAGATGGACAACATTCTTTGCTAGATGCTGGTCCTATCCTGGGTTAAAGGAGGCTATGACACTTTTTGTATATATCCATCTCTGATGGGTACCACTCAAATATGAACTCCCATAATTTCCATACATCCATTCCCAGAGTCTATCATTTCCACACTATTTTCAAAACTGTTTCATCTTAGGAAGTTACCAAATAATAAACTTCTCCTTTCTTGATTGTTTTAAAATATTAATTCAGGATAAATAAATCTAACAATTTGACACTTGAGCTACTCGCTATATGACAAATCACTGAATAAATTCTTTTTTATTTAGTACTTAAAAGAGGACATACAGAAAAACATCAAGATCTATGATAGAGGACAGGTTTGTTGAACTCTGATCTCGAGGGTATCTAAAATAATATGCCCTTTCCATGCATAAGCAGGGTTAGATAGGATTTAAACAGAGTAGATTCAAGAAATTAGAAACTCTTTAGGTACCCCTGATTGGCATTCCCAAGACAGCTTCATTAATAAATTTGAATTTTTGTATCTTTTATGGATAATAAGATCATTTCAATTTAAAATACTTTATAAACCCAAGTTTTACCCTCAATTTAAAAGTCCCTTTGCAAAATGTTTTTGCCCCATCTTTATTCATGATCCAAAATATTCTGGATGAAGATGGCTTTTGAAAGCCTAAGTTAAGATGGAAGTTGTGTTACTAATAATATACATGCTGAACAAACGTGTGTTCTTAGAATTTATATGTGTGAAGAAATTTTAGGTGCATAAATAAAAGTAAATTTGTGGCCGGGCGCGGTGGCTCACGCCTGTAATCCTAGCACTCTCGGAGGCCGAGGCGGGCGGATTGTTTGAGCTCAGGAGTTTGAGACCAGCCTGAGCAAGAGCGAGACCCCGTCTCTACTAAAAATAGAAAGAAA